AAGGGCAGATGATTTATGTAGCAGTTACTTCCTGGTATCCATCTGGCCGTAGCTCAGGCATTGGCTGAGCTGGGAACTCTCCCTCCCCTCCTGAGATGTATGACATTTACCTAGGCATGGAAACCAGGAAATAAATGAAGGAATGCAAAAAAAAAAAAAAAAAAGGATTAAAAGTAAATATGATATACAGGTGAAACTCGAAAAATTAGAATATCGTGCAAAAGTTAATTTATTTCAGTAATGCAACTTAAAAGGTGAAACTAATATCTGAGAGACTCATTACATGCAAAGCAAGATAGTTCAAGCCGTGATTTGTCATAATTGTGATGATTATGGCTTACAGCTCATGAAAACCCCAAATCCACAATCTCAGAAAATTTGAATATTGTGAAAAGGTGCAATATTCTAGGCTCAAAGTGTCCCACTCTAATCAGCTAATTAAGCCATAACACCTGCAAAGGGTTCCTGAGCCTTTAAATGGTCTGTCAGTCTGGTTCAGTAGGAATCACAATCATGGGAAGACTGCTGACCTGACAGTTGTACAGAAAACCATCATTGACACCCTCCATAAGGAGGGAAAGCCTCAAAAGGTAATTGCAAAAGAAGTTGGATGTTCCCAAAGTGCTGTATCAAAGCACATTAATAGAAAGTTATGTGGAAGGGAAAAGTGTGGAAGAAAAAGGTGCACAAGCAGCAGGGATGACCGCAGCCTGGAGAGGATTGTCAGGAAAAAGCCATTCAAAAGTGTTGGGGACTTTCACAAGGAGTGGACTGAGGCTGGAGTCAGTGCATCAAGAGCCACCACACACAGACGGATCCTGGACATGGGCTTCAAATGTCGTATTCCTCTTGTCAAGCCGTTCCTGAACAAAAATGTCAGAAGCGTCTTACCTGGGCTAAAGAAGAACAGACCTGGTCTGTTGCTCAGTGGTCCAAAGTTGTCTTTTCAGATGAGAGAAACTTTTGCATCTCATTTGGAAACCAAGGACCCAGAGTATGGAGGAAGAATGGAGAGGCACACACTGCAAGATGCTTGAAGTCCAGTGTGAAGTTTCCACAGTCTGTGTTGATTTGGGGAGCCGTCATCTGCTGGTGTTGGTCCACTGTGCTTCATTAAGTCCAGGGTCAACGCAGCCGTCTACCAGGAGATTTTGGAGCACTTCATGCTTCCTTCCACAGACGAGCTTTATGGGGATGCTGACTTAATTTTCCAGCAGGACTTGGCACCTGCCCACACTGCCAAAAGCACCAAAACCTTGTTCAATGACCGTGGGATTACTGTGCTTGATTGGCCAGCAAACTCGCCTGACCTGAACCCCATAGAGAATCTATGGGGCATTGCCAAAGAGAAAGATGAGAGTCATGAAACCGAACAATGCGGAAGAGCTGAAGGCCGCTATTGAAGCATCCTGGTCTTCCATAACTCCTCAGCAATGCCACAGGCTAATATCTTCCATGCCACGCCGCATTGAGGCAGTAATTGCTGCAAAAGGGGCCCAAACCAAGTACTGAGTACATATGCATGCTTATACTTTTCAGAGGTCCGATATTGTTCTATGTACAATCCTTGTTTTATTGATTGGATGTAATATTCTAATTTTCTGAGATTGTGGATTTGGGGTTTTCATGAGCTGTACGCCATAATCATCACAATTATGACAAATCACGGCTTGAACTATCTTGCTTTGCATGTAATGAGTCTATCTCATATATTAGTTTCACCTTTTAAGTTGCATTACTGAAATAAATGAACTTTTGCACTATATTCTAATTTTTCGAGTTTCACCTGTACTTTCGTATGTATTTACTAATGCAGTAATGATTACTGTATACATGTCATATCACTATAATGGACTACAGGGGAGCTGGGATATACATACTGTATACATGTCATATCACTATAATGGAGTACAGGGGAGGGGGGGATATACAGTCAGGTCCATAAATATTGGGACATCGACAAATTCTAACACATTTTTGGCTCTATACACCACCACAATGGATTTGAAATGAAATGAAGAAGATGTGCTTTAACTGCAGACTGTCAGCTTTAATTTGAGGGTATTTACATCCAAATCAGGTGAACGGTGTAGGAATTACAACAGTTTGCATATGCGCCTCCCACTTGTTAAGGGACCAAAAGTAATGGGACAGAATAATAATCATAAATCAAACTTTCACTTTTTAATACTTGGTTGCAAATCCTTTGCAGTCAATTACAGCCTGAAGTCTGGAACGCATAGACATCACCAGACGCTGGGTTTCATCCCTGGTGATGCTCTGCCAGCCGCTACTGCAACTGTCTTCAGTTCCTGCTTGTTCTTGGGGCATTTTCCCTTCAGTTTTGTCTTCAGCAAGTGAAATGCATGCTCAATCGGATTCAGGTCAGGTGATTGACTTGGCCATTGCATAACATTCCACTTCTTTCCCTTAAAAAACTCTTTGGTTGCTTTTGCAGTATGCTTTGGGTCATTGTCCATCTGCACTGTGAAACGGCGTCCAATGAGTTCTGAAGCATCTGGCTGAATATGAGCAGATAATATTGCCCGAAACACTTCAGAATTCATCCTGCTGCTTTTGTCAGCAGTCACATCATCAATAAATACAAGAGACCCAGTTCCATTGGCAGCCATACATGCCCACACCATGACACTACCACCACCATGCTTCACTGATGAGGTGGTATACTTAGGATCATGAGCAGTTCCTTTCCTTCTCCATACTCTTCTCTTCCCATCACTCTGGTACAAGTTGATCTTGGTCTCATCTGTCCATAGGATGTTGTTCCAGAACTGTGAAGGCTTTTTTAGATGTCGTTTGGCAAACTCTAATCTGGCCTTCCTGTTTTTGAGGCTCACCAATGGTTTACATCTTGTGGTGAACCCTCTGTATTCACTCTGGTGAAGTCTTTTCTTGATTGTTGACTTTGACACACATACACCTACCTCCTGGAGAGTGTTCTTGATCTGGCCAACTGTTGTGAAGGGTGTTTTCTTCACCAGAGAAAGAATTCTTCGGTCATCCACCACAGTTGTTTTCCGTGGTCTTCCGGGTCTTTTGGTGTTGCTGAGCTCACCGGTGCGTTCCTTCTTTTTAAGAATGTTCCAAACAGTTGTTTTGGCCACACCTAATGTTTTGCTATCTCTCTGATGGGTTTGTTTTGTTTTTTTCAGCCTAATGATGGCTTGCTTCACTGATAGTGACAGCTCTTTGGATCTCATCTTGAGAGTTGGCAGCAACAGATTCCAAATGCAAATAGCACACTTGAAATGAACTCTGGACCTTTTATCTGCTCATTTTAATTGGGATAATGAGGGAATAACACACACCTGGCCATGGAACAGTTGTGAAGCCAATTGTCCCATTACTTTTGGTCCCTTAACAAGTAAGAGGCACATATGCAAACTGTTGTAATTCCTACACCGTTCACCTGATTTGGATGTAAATACCCTCAAATTAAAGCTGACCGTCTGCAGTTAAAGCACATCTTGTTCGTTTCATTTCAAATCCATGTGGGTGGTGTATAGAGCCAAAAATGTTAGAATTGTGTCGATGTCCCAATATTTATGGTCCTGACTGTACATACTGTATACATGTCATATCACTATAATGGAGTACAGGGGAGGGGGGGATATACATACTGTATACATGTCATATCACTATAATGGAGTACAGGGGAGCTGGGGATATACATACTGTATACATGTCATATCACTATAATGGAGTACAGGGGAGCTGGGATATACATTACTGAGTAATGTATATCCCAGCTCCCCTGTACTCCATTTATAGTGATATGACGTGTATACAGTATGTATATCCCCCCTCCCCTGTACTCTATTAGTGATATATGACATGTATACAGTATGTATATCCCCCCCTCCCCTGTACTCCATTATAGTGATATGACGTGTATACAGTATGTAATACCCCCCCCCCCTCCCCTGTACTCCATTATAGTGATATGACATGTATACAGTATGTATATCCCCCTCCCCTGTACTCTATTATAAGTGATATGACATGTATACAGTATGTAAATCCCCCCTCCCCTGTACTCCATTATAGTGATATGACAATGTACACAGTAATGTATATCCCCCTCCCCTGTACTCCATTATAGTGATATGACGTGTATACAGTAATGTATATCCCCCCCTCCCCTGTACTCCATTATAGTGATGACATGTTAGCATCCTCATACTGCAGTCCCACAGCTGAAAAATGAAAGGCGCACTGGTAGGTTGCTATGGTGTTTGGCTGGTTGCTATGGGTCTTGTGAGCTCCTTTCTCTACCACACAGTTGTGAATGAAAGGCCCCTGGCTGGTTACTATGAAATGTGGCTGGTTGCTATGAACAACCAAGCTCACTTGTCAGCTCCATCCTCTACTCCAAATACACAGTTCAAAATAAAAGGCCTCCATTAAGTTGCTATGGGCAACCAGTCAGCTCTTTCCCACATCCCAAGCAGCCTCACTGGGCTCCAGCCCGAACTCCCAGAAACTTCTGTCCTGGCCTCACAGCGAACACATGGGACTCTCTCCCAGCCTCCCCATTGGCTGGCCGGCCTCGTTGACGTTCTCTTGGAAGGCCCGTCAATCGAGCCAACACAGTGCCGCGGATTGGCTGAGGAGGCGGGTGTACTTTCCGGCCACACTCCTATGACTGCCACCTGTGCTGACCAATCTCCACCGCGCATGGCTTCTGAGCAGCTCGGGGAAACCAAGAGGTGAACGCGCATGACTCATTCCCAGAAGACGATCACCGAGTCTGGAGCTAGCGCTCACTCCCAGAGGAGGGGGCCTGGAGTATGGTCATGTAACTCCGCCTACCCGGCCCTCCCCCCTGCACTGCTTGTTTGGTAGTGTTAATGCCCCCCTCCCCCTTCCCTGGCCGGGCGGAGTCAGTGCTGTGGCATCCAATAGCGGAGCCGGTGACAGTGTCAGGAACAAGGGGGAGGGGTCTCTGTCAGCTTCGCCAATTCACTCCGATCTGAGACTGCGCTACAATGGGGGACTCACGACTTCTTATGCCGGGGGATGACACAGGGGAGACGGTAAGTGACGATACATGGGACATCCTCGCTGTAATGTGAGAGGGATGGGGGAGGTGTGAGCCATATCTGCAGTATGACCTTATGTCTCATAGTGTCACCCGTACATAGACAGCGGTCCGGGGTTAGCCCAGCGTACAGGAGTCCCATTCACATCTCTGAGCAGAGAGAGAACAATACTTTATACACACGGTCCTCAGATGGGATACTGACCTCCTGATTCCTACCACCCATACTGCCAATTGGTACAGTCCTCATCTACCTGCCCCCCCCCCCCCACCACATATTGCCTGTTATTGGTACAGTCCTCATCTACCTGCCCCCCCACCACATATTACCTGTTATTGGTACAGTCCTCATCCCCCCCCACTGCCTGTTTTTGGTTCAGTCCTCAACCCCCCACTTCCTATTTTTGGTACGGTCCTCGGTCCTGCATCCCCCCCACCCTGCCTGTTTTTGGTACGGTCCTCATCCCCCCCCCCTGCCTGTTTTTGGGTACGATCCTCATCTCCCCCCCTGCCTGTTTTTGGTACATCCTCATCTCCCCCCTGCCTGTTTTTGGTATGGTCCGCATCCCCCCCTCCTGCCTGTTTTTGGTATGGTCCGCATCTCCCCCCTCCTGCCTGTTTTTGGCATGGTCCGCATCTCTCCCCCCCCCCCTGCCTGTTTTTGGTACGGTCCTCATCTCCCCCCCCCCTGCCAGTTTTTGGTATGGTCCTCATCTCCCCCCCCTGCCAGTTTTTGGTATGGTCCTAATCGCCCCCCCCTGCCAGTTTTTTGGTATGGTCTTCATCCCCCCCCCCCTCCCCCCCGCCTGTTTTTGGTACGGTCCTCATCTTCCCCCCCGCCTGTTTTTGGTACGGTCCTCATCTTCCCCCCCGCCTGTTTTTGGTACGGTCCTCATCTCCCCCCCCGCCTGTTTTTTGGTACGGTCCTCATCTTCGGCCCCCCCCGCCTGTTTTTGGTACGGTCCTCCTCATCTTCCCCCCCGCCTGTTTTTGGTACGGTCCTCATCTTCCCCCCCCCCGCCTGTTTTTGGTACGGTCCTCATCTTCCCCCCCCGCCTGTTTTTGGTACGGTCCTCATCTTCCCCCCCTGCCTGTTTTTGGTACGGTCCTCACCTCCCCCCCCCCCGCCTGTTTTTGGTACGGTCCTCACCTCCCCCCCCCCCCGCCTGTTTTTGGTACGGTCCTCACCTCCCCCCCCGCCTGTTTTTGGTACGGTACTCACCTCCCCCCCCCGCCTGTTTTTGGTACGGTACTCACCTCCCCCCCCGCCTGTTTTTGGTACGGTACTCACCTCCCCCCCCGCCTGTTTTTGGTACGGTCCTCACCTCCCCCCCTGCCTGTTTTTGGTACGATCCTCATCTCCCCCCCTGCCTGTTTTTGGTACGATCCTCATCTCCCCCCTGCCTGTTTTTGGTACGATCCTCATCTCCCCCCCCTGCCTGTTTTTGGTACGATCCTCATCTCCCCCCCCCCTGCCTGTTTTTGGTACGGTCCGCATCCCCCCCCCGCCTGTTTTTGGTACGGTCCGCATCTCCCCCGCTCCTGCCTGTTTTTGGCATGGTCCGCATCTCCCCCCCTGCCTGTTTTTGGTACGGTCCTCATCTTCCCCCCCCCCCCGCCTGTTTTTGGTACGGTCCTCATCTTCCCCCCCCCCGCCTGTTTTTGGTACGGTCCTCATCTCCCCCCCCCGCCTGTTTTTGGTACGGTCCTCATCTCCCCCCCCCCGCCTGTTCTTGGTACGGTCCCCATCCCCCCCCCCGCCTGTGTTTGGTACGGTCCTAATCCCCCCCCCGCTTGTTTTTGGTACGGTCCTCATCCCCCCCTGCCTGTTTTTGGTACGATCCTCATCTCCCCCCCCTGCCTGTTTTTGGTACGGTCCGCATCCCCCCCCCCGCCTGTTTTTGGTACGGTCCGCATCTCCCCGCTCCTGCCTGTTTTTTGGCATGGTCCGCATCTCCCCCCCTGCCTGTTTTTGGTACGGTCCTCATCTTCCCCCCCCCCCGCCTGTTTTTGGTACGGTCCTCATCTTCCCCCCCCGCCTGTTTTTGGTACGGTCCTCATCTTCCCCCCCGCCTGTTTTTGGTACGGTCCTCATCTTCCCCCCCGCCTGTTTTTGGTACGGTCCTCATCTTCCCCCCCCCCCGCCTGTTTTTGGTACGGTCCTCATCTTCCCCCCCCGCCTGTTTTTGGTACGGTCCTCATCTTCCCCCCCTGCCTGTTTTTGGTACGGTCCTCACCTCCCCCCCCCCCCCCCCGCCTGTTTTTGGTACGGTCCTCACCTCCCCCCCCGCCTGTTTTTGGTACGGTCCTCACCCCCCCCCCCGCCTGTTTTTGGTACGGTACTCACCCCCCCCCCCGCCTGTTTTTTGGTACGGTACTCACCTCCCCCCCCGCCTGTTTTTGGTACGGTACTCACCTCCCCCCCCGCCTGTTTTTGGTACGGTACTCACCTCCCCCCCCGCCTGTTTTTGGTACGGTCCTCACCTCCCCCCCCGCCTGTTTTTGGTACGATCCTCACCTCCCCCCCCTGCCTGTTTTTGGTACGATCCTCATCTCCCCCCCTGCCTGTTTTTGGTACGATCCTCATCTCACCCCCCCCCTGCCTGTTTTTGGTACGATCCTCATCTCCCCCCCCCCCCTGCCTGTTTTTGGTACGGTCCGCATCCCCCCCCCGCCTGTTTTTGGTACGGTCCGCATCTCCCCGCTCCTGCCTGTTTTTTGGCATGGTCCGCATCTCCCCCCCTGCCTGTTTTTGGTACGGTCCTCATCTTCCCCCCCCCCCGCCTGTTTTTGGTACGGTCCTCATCTTCCCCCCCCCCCCTGTTTTTGGTACGGTCCTCATCTCCCCCCCCCCGCCTGTTTTTGGTACGGTCCTCATCTCCCCCCCCCCCCGCCTGTTCTTGGTACGGTCACCCCCATCCCCCCCCCCGCCTGTGTTTGGTACGGTCCTAATCCCCCCCCCCCGCTTGTTTTTGGTACGGTCCTCATCCCCCCCTGCCTGTTTTTGGTACAGTCACCCACACAGCACCCTCCCGCTTCCATGTCCTGCAGCAACCCCCCGCAATGTAGTATCTGTCCCCCTTCTCCCTAAAACCACCCCCCCCCATTTTGGTGTGTACCCCTAAACGCCCGATCGGTGTGCAACAAGCTCACCGCCATCCACGACATCTTTGTTTTCCCGCTCCCTTAACCTCCTAGCGATCACAGAAACCTGGATCCAACAAGCCACTGACTCTACCTCCCCTGCTGCACTCTCCTATGGAGGTCTCACCTGGACCCACTCACCCAGACCTAACGGTCGTAAAGGTGGTGGGGTTGGTCTGCTCCTGTCACTGCAGAGCACCTTCCGAGTCCTCCCACCCCCCCCCCCCCTCCCTATCCTTCTCTTCCTTCGAGGCCCCCAATGCCTCCGACTATTCTCCCCAACCCCCCTGAAGATTGCCGTAATCTACCAGCCTCCTGGACCCGTATCCCGCTTCCTGGATGACTTTTCCTCCTGGCTACCCTTCTTCCTCTCCTCTGAGCTACCCACCATCATCCTTGGGAATTTCAACATCCCTGTCAACCTCGACAACCCGACCACATCCCATCTCCTCCACTTAACCTCCTCCTTCGCACTTGCACAGTGCATACAATCCACCACCCACTCCGACGGTAATATCCTGAACCTTGTCTTCTCCAACAGCTGCGCTCCCCACAACCTCACTAACACCCCCTTCCCTCTCTCTGACCACAGCCTGATTACCTTCTCTATCTCCTCGTCCTCCAACGCCTACCCCTCCAAATGTCACACTACTACCAGCCGTAACCTCCGCAACCTGAACCCTGCGCCCTCCACTCTGCAGCTGATCAACTCCACGACAGCATCCTCCCCCTGTCCTTCCCTGACCTGGCTATGACTGCCTATAACAACGCGCTGTCAACAGCCCTTGACTCACTAGCGCCTTTAACCACACGCAACATCAGACCCCGACCGCTCCAGCCCAGGCAGACTGATCACACCAAAACCCTCAAACGACACAGTCGTGCCCTGGAGCGACTATGGCGCAAAACAAATCCCAACAAGCCTTCACCCGATACAAATCTGCCTTCCACACCTACACCTCCTCCCTCCACGCAGCCAAACAAGCCTACTTCCTGACCCTCATCAAGGCCCTCTCCTCCAATCCTCGCCGACTCTTCTCCACCTTTAACTCTCTACTCTCTCTGCCCCCACCTCCACCCAGCACCTCACCGCCCTTGAGATTGCCCATCACTTCAAAAACAAGATTGACACAATTCACAAGGACATCGCCGCAGCTCACACTCCCTCCAAACCCGTCCCCTCTCACACAACTACCCCCTTATCACCCCTCCCCCTCGACACAATCCGCAGAGACTTCATCGCAGCTCACACTCCCTCCAACCCTGTCCCCTCTCCCATGGCCCCACCACTGCTCTGACCTCCACCCCACCCAACATTCCTAACACTGAAGGCCCCTCAACACTCCACACCTTCGACCTTACTACCATCGAGGAGGTCACCAAGGGCTCACCACCTGCCCGCTCGACCCTATCCCCTCACAACTCCTACGACCTCCATCCTACGCTCCCTCACCCACATCTTTAATCTCTCCCTATCTTCCGGCGCATTCCCCTCCCCTATGAAGCATGCACACATCACCCCCATACTTAAAAAGCCCTCCCTGGACCCCAATGACCCAAACAACCTCAGACCCATCTCTTTGCTCCCATTCACATCCAAACTCCTCGAGCGCTTAGTCTACACTCGCCTAAGCTCTCACCTCAACAACCTCCTCGATCCCCTACAGTCCGGCTTCAGTCCCCTACACTCCACCGAAACTTCCTTACTCAAATTCTCCAACGACCTTCTAACCACAAAGCTAATGGCCACTACTCAGTGCTCCTACTCCTCGACCTCTCCGCGGCCTTCGACACAGTTGACCAACCCCTCCTCCTCAAAAAACTACACTCCGTCGGCCTCAGAGACTCCTCTCCTGGCTCTCATCCTACCTATCACAACGCTCATAACTCATAGCTCATTACTTATAACGCTACCCACCTCCCCCTCACTCCCCCTCTCTGTTGGGGTCCCTCAAGGCTCCGTCCTCGGGCCCCTTCTCTTCTCCATCTACACCTCCTCCCTTGGCCAACTCATACACTTTCACGGCTTCAACTACCACCTCTATGCCGATGACACACAAATCTCAACCCCTCGCCTCTCCGCCCGAATCACAAACCTACTAAACGACATATCAGACTGGATGTCGTTCCACTTCCTTAAACTGAACCTCTCCAAAACCGAGCTCCTAGTCTTCCGCCCAGCCTGGACACCACCCCCCATTGAGTTCTCCATCATCCAACAATGCCACTATCAGGCCCGCCCCGCAGGCCAGAGTACTTGGTGTCATTCTGGACTCCAGCCTATCCTTCCAGCCCCAAGTCCAATCTTTAACAAGCTCGTGTAGACTCCACCTCCGCAACATCTCCAAAATCCGCACGTTCCTAACTCCAGAAACCACTAAACAGCTCATCCACTCCATCATCATATCACGACTCGATTACTGCAACTCCCTCCTCACTGGCCTGCCTCGCCACAGGCTATTTCCCCGCTTCAGTCGATCCTGAATACGGCTGCCAGACTCATTCATCTTACCAACCACTCCGTTTCCGCCACCCCCCTCGGGCAATCGGAAGCCAGTGGAGGGATTGGCAAACGGATCAAATTCAAAATCCTAACACTGACGTACAAAGCTGTCCATCATACTGCCCCAAATTATATCACCGACCTAATATCCAAGTACCACCCAACATGCACTCTCCGCTCCTCACAAGACCTCCTTCTCTCTAGTACCCTGGTCTCCTCCTCCCATGCCCGCCTTCAGGATTTCTCCAGGGTGTCACCCATCCTCTGGAACTCCCTACCCCAACCCATCAGACTATCACCTACTCTCCTCTGCTTTAGGCGTACCCTGAAAGCCCACCTCTTCAGGGAAGCCTACCCCACCCCCTGCTAATTGCTGACCTCCTCCACTCTTCCTACCACTCCATCCCCCACAGCTATCTCCTCCTGTGCCACCATCCCCTCCCTCCTAGATTGTAAGCTCAAAAGAGTAGGGTCCTCGAACCCCTCGTGTATCGTATTGTTATTGTGCTGTCACATGTTCTGTCCCCCTTTGTAATGTACAGTGCTGAGCAAACTATTGGCGCTTTATAAATACTGTATAATAATAATAATCTCCCTGCCCCCCCATGCTACCAGGTATTGGTACATTCCTCATCTCTCTGCCCTCCCAATACTTCCTGCTATAGGTACAGTCCATATCTCCCTGCCTCTCCCACCCCACACTGCCTGCCTGCCATTGGTATAGTCCTCCTCTCCCTTACCCCCCCCCATACTGCCTATTATTGGTACAGTCCTCATTTCCCTCTCTCTGCGCTCCCCCCCATACTGCCTTTTATTGGTACAGTCTGTATCTCACTCTCTCTGACCCCCCCCCCCCCGCCCATACTGCCTGCCATTGGTACAGTCCTCTTTCCCCCCCCGCCTGTTTTTGGTACAGTCCTCTTTCTTCCCCCCCGCCTGTTTTTGGTACAGTCCTCTTTCTTCCCCCCCCCCCCCCCCCCCCACCGTTTTTTGGTACAGTCCTCTTTTCTTCCCCCCCCGCCGGTTTTTGGTACAGTCCTCTTTCTTCCCCCCCCCCCGCCTGTTTTTTTGGTACACTCCTCTTTCCCCCCCCGCCTGTTTTTGGTACAGTCCTCTTTCTTCCCCCCGCCTGTTTTTGGTACAGTCCTCTTTCCCCCTGCCCGCTGTCTGTTTTTGGTACAGTCTTCATTCCCCCCCCTTCCCTATCAGTCCCCCCCCCCACTGCCTGTTTTTGGTACAGTCCTCTTTCCCCCTCCCCCCCCTGCCTGTTTTTGGTACAGTCCTCTTTCCCCCCTCCCCCCCACTTGTTTTTGGTACAGTCCTCTTCCCCCCGCCTGCAGTCCTCAACCCCCCCCCACCCACTGCCTGTTTTTGGTACAGTCCTCTTTCCCCTTTGCTCCCCCCCCCCCCCCTGTTTTTGGTACAGTCCTCTTCCCCCTCCCCCCCCCCACCTCTTTTTGGTACAGTCCCTTTCCCCCTCCCCCCCCGCCTGTTGTTGGTACAGTCCTCTTTCCCCCCTCCCCCCCGCCTGTTGTTGGTACAGTCCTCTTTCCCCCTCCCCCCCCGCCTGTTGTTGGTACAGTCCTCTTTCCCCCCCCCCCCCCCGCCTGTTGTTGGTACAGTCCTCTTTCCCCCCTCCCCCCCCCGTCTGTTTTTGGTACAGTCCTCTTTCCCCCCCCCCCCCCCCCCCCGCCTGTTTTTGGTACAGTCCTCTTTCCCCCCCCCCCCCCCCCGCCTGTTTTTGGTACAGTCCTCTTTCCCCCTCCCCCCCCGCCTGTTTTTGGTACAGTCCTCTTTCCCCCTCCCCCCCGTCTGTTTTTGGTACAGTCCTCTTTCCCCCTCCCCCCCCGCCTGTTTTTGGTACAGTCCCCCCCTCCCCCCCCCCCCCCCGCCTGTTTTTGGTACAGTCCTCTTTCCCCCTCCCCCCCCCCGCCTGTTTTTGGTACAGTCCTCTTTCCCCCCCCCCCCCCCGCCTGTTTTTGGTACAGTCCTCTTTCCCCCCCCCCCCCCCGCCTGTTTTTGGTACAGTCCTCTTTCCCCCTCCCCCCCCCCGCCTGTTTTTGGTACAGTCCTCTTTTTCCCCCCCCGCCTGTTTTTGGTACAGTCCTCTTTCCCCCCCCCCCGCCTGTTTTTGGTACAGTCCTCTTTCCCCCCCCCCCCCCCCCGCCTGTTTTTGGTACAGTCTTCTTCTACATTCTCCCCCCCTGCCTGTTTTTGGTACAGTCTTCATCGCCTTCTGTCTTTTATTGGTACAGTCCTCATCTCCCTTTCTCTCTGCCTGTTATTGGTACAGTCCATATCTCCTTCTCTCTGCCCTCTCCCCATACTGCCTGTCATTGGTACAGTTCATATCTCCTTTTCCCTGCCTCCCCCCCCCCCAATTCTGCCTGTTATTGGTAAAATCCACATCTCCTTCTCCCTGCCCCCCCCATGCTGCTTGTTATTGGTACAGTCCTCATCTCCCTCTCCTTGCCCCCAATCCCAAATAATGCCTGTTATTGGTACAGTCCATAGCTCCTCTTCCCTGCACCCCCATAATGCCTGTTATTGGTACAGTCCATAGCTCCTCTTCCCTGCACCCCCATAATGCCTGTTATTGGTACAGTCCATATCTCCTCTCCCTGCACCCCCATAATGCCTGTTATTGGCACAGTCCATAGCTCCTCTTCCCTGCACCCCCATAATGCCTGTTGGCACAGTCCATAGCTCCTCTTCCCTGCACCCCCATAATGCCTGTTATTGGCACAGTCCATAGCTCCTCTTCCCTGCACCCCCATAATGCCTGTTATTGGCACAGTCCATAGCTCCTCTTCCCTGCTACGTTAAAATTCTTATGACCCTTTTTTTCAAAACCCCGTGTACTCCGATGCATGGTATATATTGTATGTTGTGAGGCAGTGTGTTGTACTGTACAGTGTGTTGGGTTGCCATTGACAATGAATGGCACTGTAACACACAGTACATAGAGCAGGTGTGTACCATGTGTCGTGGCAATGCAAAGTGTGACTAGTCTCTCATACTATTTTTGCCTCCCCATTCTTTACTTGTTAAATCTGAAATACAGCTAATTATATGGTTGAAATATATGTAAAATGTCTTATCTGCCAAATTATTTATAATTCTCCTCTGCCACTATTATGAACTAGACACGTCTGTCCTACTAACTAACGCTGGTAATCATACTTTTCTCCACTGCAGTTAGGCAATACAGCTTGCCTATCTTCCTGCCACAACCTATGATTGGCCAATGAAAGAATAGCAGTAGACTGATAGTCATCCCTCTGCTCTCCCTTCCTGTAAGTGCTGTAAAGCGGAATTGCAGGAGGCTAATTCTGAAACCTATTTAGGTACTTTTGACAGTTTATATATAAAAAAAATAAATGTAATCATTTTTAATGAACACATAATGGGGATAAATGAAAATGTTATATCTGTGTTTAGTCACCTAGTGTGCATCCAGGTACAGTACTGTCATTTTGGTAACACATTGGATGATCGTTCTATATTTTATGTGTTCGGCAGAATGGGATTAATGGTTACAGCGAAAGTAATGGAAACAGCCTTGAGGATGAGCCTCTTCTTAGGAAAAATCCCCGGCGTTTTGTCATTTTTCCAATCCAGTATCCTGATATCTGGAAGATGTATAAGAAGGCACAAGCCTCATTCTGGACTGCAGAGGAGGTACGTGGTCATGGGTCATTCTATCAGCTCTGTTTAATGGGGATTTCAATCTTTTATATGGCATTCCCTTTAGCTTCTGAACCCTACATGTACTAGCAGTGAATTGGCCCTTCCACATATCTCTGGCTTTATTGGGACCAAGAGCTAGGTAGAAACTGCACCCCTGGTACTCTCTACCATTATCTCAGCTTCTCTAATCACATATACACTTATGGGAGCACATTACAACAGCTGCCAATGGATTTTGGTCCACCAGGTAATGCGATCATCATGGAGGGGTGAGGAACATATGGGAATTCTTATGTAACCTGGAAATTACCTTTTTATTAAGACGAAATGTAATGCTGTATGGTTGATATACAAACAGACATTTATTTTTTTACATTCTTAAAAGTTTAAATTAGACCAGCAGGAAACAGAATTTAATACAAGTACTCATTGACCTTTACAGCTGCAGACACTGAGGAGCAATTCATCTTCAAAGTTAAAGTTCATAACAGAGGCTCTGTAGACTTTTTCTAGTCTCTTTACCAGCAACTTTTGCAGGAACCTGGCTTCAGTGCCTCTGCTATGAGCTGTCAGGATTATTTGCTCGACAGTGCCTGCAGCTACAGTGGTCAGTAAGCACTTGTTTTAAAACTTTATATACTGCTTGGTAAATACTTGACTTTCTATGGTCTGGTCACAACTTCACTTTTAAGGCCTCATGCACACTTTAGTTCAGGTGTTTTGAGGTTTTTTTTTTTTTTTTTTCTGTCTTCAAACTCCCCTCCAAACTTTGTTCATGCACACAGAGGCATTTACAGAAGTTTAGAGGCAGAAAAAAATCCATCACTTGTGTGTTCGAGAGGAGAGTTTTGGCAGCAAAATCTGTCTAAACACGTCTAAATGTGCCTGAGCTCTAGGTGCATTTAGCGCTTGAGCGTTTTTTTGGTTTTTTTCCTTTCAATGACCAGAATGAATTAATATTTTGTCCAACAAAATAAACTCCCAAGTGTTTGATGCACCTACACATGTTTGCAAAAATGTGGCTTAGGTGTGTTTTGAAGCTGCTTTTTTTTTTTTTTTTAATATATTTTATATATATATAATTTAAAAAACTGTCCATTTCGGTGTTTGGTCAAGCGCATCCTGAATTTTTGGTCTCGGCACCAGAATTTTCATTTTAGTGCACCCCTACAAATCACTTTTTGTGACCCTTTTGCAAAGTGTACTGACCTGGAGATCCTGCCAATAACTGCACTTCTGCTCTGAGCTGACAGCATTATCCTACTGCTTCCCAAGTAGCAGCAACGTTGTCAGGCTGACACATGTACTTCTTTGGTTGGCCATTCAGCTTCCATGTTGGATTTACAGGATACATGGGCATGTCTAGTTCAGAGCCTTGCCTCTCAGCTGTCACCCCACAAAGCATAAGGGGGGATTTACTAACACTGGAGCATACAGAATCTGGTGCAGCTCTACATAGAACCCATCAGTTTCTGGGATTTACTGTCAAAGCTTAACTGAAAAAGCTGAAGCTAGAAGCGCATTGATTGCTGTGCCAGTTACTGTGTGCTCCAGTTTTAGTAAATTTCCCCTAGAGTCAAAGGGGCTACCTAAGCGCTCAGTATCTCAATAAAGGTATCTGCACGAACTAAGGGTGCTCCTCATTTCTTTGGTACACTGGGTTGATTGTGTGTGAAAAATGCAGCTTTATATTGAAGCGGAACTAAAGGCAAAAATATCTTCGTTCCAACTGTTCAATGCTGCAAGATCCCTCAGCGCTTTTTCCAGGTGCCAGTCTTTGGCCATCTTGATTGGCTGGCTCGAAATGATATCGCTCCTGCGCATGCGCAGGAGTGCAGTCATCCCAGCACACAGGCCTGTGCAGCTCAGTGTACCTTCTACAGGGGGTGGCGTACAGGCAGTAAGTGTATTTTGTTATTGCATGTCTCTGAGAAAAATAGCCCACCTCTTTACAATTTTTGTTTTTAGTTTTCCAAATTTAACAGTTTAAAACCCAACAAATTATTTCCTCTGTGGTTTTATTTTGTGAGCTGCGCACCTGCACAAGGCAGACCAACTGGTGTTACCGGCCCTGGAAGCCACAGACAGTTAGACGTCCATTTCTGTAAACATGTAAACCTCAATCATTGTCGGAGAATAACTGGTGCAGCTGTGATGCAGATATTAAAATAGGTTCCAAATAACTGGAATTGTTTTCTGTGTAATAGGTGGATTTATCCAAAGACTTGGTGCACTGGGAGAAGCTGAAGGCAGATGAGAAGTATTTTATTTCCCATGTACTGGCATTCTTTGCAGCCAGCGATGGCATAGTGAATGAGAATCTGGTATGTGTTTTATATGTTTGTGTCTGCATTGTATGTCCTGAAGTCTGGCACAGCTTATGACTCCTAATCTTGTCTATTGATAAGATCACAGCTAACATGATATCGTATTATTCCCCTTCAGGTGGAGAGATTCAGCCAGGAGGTACAGATCCCAGAAGCTCGCTGCTTTTACGGCTTCCAGATTCTAATTGAGAATGTCCATTCAGAGATGTACAGTCTGCTTATTGAAACCTACATCAGAGATCCCCACAGGAGGTATGGATGATTTCATTGGCTGGCTGAAGGAATGGACAATTTAATATCTGTTTTGCTGTATCTTTCCCAGAATCTTCGCATGATGTGAGACACCTGTCCTTGCTTTACGCCCAGTTCACACCAGTGCAGCTTTGAAGTTGCGCTACTCCAGCGTGATTTCAAAGCCGCCGATCAGTGTGACTTCATGTGCAGATTGCTGACATCTGTGCGACTTCACGTACACAAACATCAATGCAAGCTGCACATGAAATCGCACAATAATAGCGCAGGAACCTCTTTCGAAGTCACTGCAACTTGAGTCGCACCAATTTGAACGGTTCCATAGCGGCAAATAAAGTGTGACTTGTCATGCGACTTTGATCTTTCAAGTCACATCGATGTGAGCCGGGGATAATGGCAAAATAAGAGATATTGTATTAAAACTGAAGAGTAATATTACCACCTGTTACCACCCCCTTTTAACCACTTGCCCTCCAGATGATTTACCCCCCCCCCCCCCCCCCCCCCGACCATGCCATTTTTTGCGATACAGCACTGCGTTATTTTAACTGACAATTGTGCGGTCATGCAGCGCTGCACCCAAATGAAATTTCCGATCTATTTTTCCCACAAATACAGCTTTCTTTTGGTGGTATTTTATTGCCTCTGCATTTTTTTTTTTTTGTTGTTTGTTTTTTTTTTTCACTATAAACAAAAAAAGACGGACAATTTTGCAAAAAAAAAACCCCAATATGTTTGACTTTTTGCTATTAAACATGTCCAGTAAAAAAATTTAAAAAATCAAATTTCGTCATAAATTTTGACCAAAATGTATTCTGCTACATGTCTTTGCTAAAAAAAAATCCCAATATATGTAAATTTAATTTGTAATGGTTATAGCATTTACAAATGGCGGTATATATACTGGAATTCATTTTTTTTTACTAATAATGGCAGCAATCAGCGACTTATAGCGGGACTGCTGCGGGCATTCTGACACTGGGGGGAGCTGACTTGGTGTCACTGATATCCCCAGTGATACCAATACAGTGATCAGTGCTAATGGCACTGGGCAGGAAGGGGTTAACATGGGGGGTGATCAAAGGGTTAACTATGTGCTGTTTTACTATGTGTGCTGTGTGTGTGTTTCACTGTAAGCATACTGCTTTGTATGGCTCTGCTATGCAGAGCTATACAAAGCAGTGTGCAGGAGCTGACAGGAGAGAGATCTGTATTGTTTACATACAGATACATTGTTTACATGTGCAAAAAATGCAAAAACGGCAAAAAGGTTCATGTACATTTTTTCTTTTAGAGATTTCTTATTTAATGCCATTGAAACAATGCCCTGTGTTAGGAAGAAAGCAGAGTGGGCCTTGCACTGGATATCGGACAGGAAAGCTACATTTGGTATGTAATAACTGAGCATTTATAAAGTTCATAATATTGTATTTTAGTGCCCATCATACACTCACTGGCCACTTCATTGGGTACACCTTGCTAGTGCCAAGAAAATCTCCCCCACACCATTACACCACCAGCATGAATCGTTGATGCAACGCAGGATGGATCCATGCTTTCATGTTTACGCCAAATTCTGACCCTACCATCTGAATGTTGCAGCAGCCAGTCTGTCCATTCTGATCCGATCCCATTAGATCAGCAGTATACTCAGACCAGCTCATCTGGCACCAACAACCATTCCACATTCAGAGTCACTTAAATCCCCTTTCTTCTCCATTCTGATGCTCAGTTTGAACTTCAGCAAGTCATATTCACCACGTCTAGATGCTTAAGGCTAGGTTCACATATGTGCAGCTGCGGATCCGCACAAAAATCCGTGCAGCCGCACCACCCGCACAGAGAAATGCGGACCCACAGGCAGGTGCCATTAGTTCTAATGGCACGCTGCCCACACTGGAAACCGCAACCGTACTGGTAACAGAGATTCCCGCGCGGGCTGCATTTTCAGAAGAAGTACAGGGACTTGTTCCCTACGTGTCCTGGGGCACGGGAGTCCATTCAAATAAATGGGCTCTCGTGCCCGCACAAAGCACGGCCGCATATATGTGAACCAGGGCTGATTAGCAAGTTGTGTTACTAAGCAATTTAACAGGTGTGCCTAATAAAGTGGCCAGGGAGGGTATAAAAATCCCAAGCTATGAAGGTACCAGTGTGTCCATTTATGGCTCCAATACTCTGTTAGGGAAAATTTTATGAAAAATAGAAAAGCCAGAATCTGAAGCAGTTGCGCATGGCAACCAATCAGCTTCTAGATAGAAGCTGATTGGTTACTATGCACACCTCCTCCAAATACTGGCTGCTCCAATTTTGATAAATGTCCTCCTGTGTGTCATTAATTTGGAACAAGCAAGCAGCCAGGGAAATGAAGAACTATTGATCTGCGTATTTGTTTTGCGGCAGTTAGGACTCGTTCACACTTGACTTTATTTCTAACTCTTGCCAAACACCCCTATAGCATTTGACAGGCGTTAGACAGGTGTTTGGGAAGCTTTTTAAATGCTCCCCAAATGTCCTGTTTGCGGTTATGAGGCATTTGATAGGCGTTTGCCAAACATTAAAACCGCACCACAAACGCCTATAATGAAGTTAAATGGTATTAACACTCCGCAAACGCCTGCCAGGTGAGGAGTTTGAGGAGCTGCACCATAGACTTGAATGGGAGCCTTCAACTCCTCCTGATTGGACATGAGGTGTCAGTTTTGCCGCAACGCTAACACTTCAGTGTGAACAGCACTGTGTGCTGCCATGTGCAGAAGTTTCATAGGCGTTTGAGAAGCGTTAAAAACGCTTCCCAAAGGCCTGTTTGACGCCTGCTGACAAAGCTAGTGTAAACATAGCCTAACTCACAGTCTTGAAACCACTAGATAAGCATGATAGCCAGGCAATTAGCATTTTCAGGTCAACAATAGCAATTGACATATATCTCTCACCATGGGTTTCCTTTAGCAAGCACAATGCAAAGACCAATGGTGTACAGAGCGCAGGTGCTAATATGAACAAGGAGCTGTCACATGGAGATATATATATATATATATATATATATATATATATATATATATTAAAAAATATATAAACTGGTCCCCCCGCAGGGTAATGTCATAGTGTACACATTATGATAGACTTGTATGTGAAATGGATCCCTCCCGCGGCACCCTGTCACCGCTGTCAGGGAATCCATCTTCACTCTGTCTTCCTTCCGGTTTCACAGGTTTTGGCTGTTTGATTGGCCGAGCTGCGATGACATCATGACTCTTTCAATAGACAGCATGCCACCTATTGAGAGCGCAGTGCACATGCCCAACGAAGTCACCGGCTGCTTCACATGTAAATATCTGGTAGACGGTGCACATTTCAGAGATATTTACTGCACCTGTATTAAAGGAGAAGTACAGCCAAAGCTGTTTTGGCTGTATTTCTCCTGTGGATCACAGTAATGCAGTTCGTTCTGCACTCCTGTCACCCGTTTTCAGCTGTCTGCGTGCTGAAGCCTGCTGTCAGCTGACATCACTCAGCCGGTCCAGGCTGGGGAAAGATCCTGACTTTAAAGTCAGTATCCACCGCAGAGTCTGGAACGGCACCTGGCTTGAATACTTGTCAGTTTTTGTTGCCGTCTGTACCTCCAATTGGGAAATTCATCCTATTTTTTCATGTTTACCATGATCATTGAACATGAAAAAAAAAAGTTAATCCCAAATTTTGGGTTGTCCCCAGAACCGTAAATAGGGGAAATCTTCCAATGGAGACAATAATTCTGGTGACAGCCAGGGATTCCCTTGTTTTGGAGGGACATCTTCCCACTTCCTGTTTTGGCTATGGGAAAGGAAGTGCGGGGAAGTCTCTCCTATGGTACGCAGATGGCAATAAAAAAAAAAAAACGGATGTTATAACCCTCCCTTACTCTCTCCAAAATGAAAAACAAATGTTTTTCCTATAGTTCTATGTAAGGCCTTGTTCATGCAGGCTGTACTACAGTGTATTCCTGTGTGAGGGCTGTGCTTACCTGCATGGGGATGCACAGGTGTTCAGGCAGTCCCATTGAACTGCCACTGCTCCCAATTTGACATCCATGCGGGAGCACAACCCTGCACACACACTGTCAGTTTGGGAACAGCGGCTGGGCCTGTGCAACTTTAAAGAGAGAATAGATCTTGACCTGTAGAATGACTTGCTGTATGCGTTTGACAGGAGAACGAGTGGTGGCATTTGCTGCAGTAGAAGGTATCTTCTTTTCTGGGTCTTTTGCTGCCATTTTCTGGTTGAAGAAGAGAGGTCTGATGCCTGGTCTCACCTTCTCCAATGAGCTCATCAGCCGAGATGAGGTAAGTTCCTTTCTGTAAACTGCTCAGTCCTGTGACTCCAGTAGCTGCCTGTTGGGTCACATTAGACACTTGGGTGCCTATTTAACATGGTTTCATCTTCTAATATAATGACAGAATGTAACCAGCCTCGGTCATTGTTAAAATTGGACAGACAGCCAATACTGTTAGACAGCCAAATAACCAACTCTGTTAATGGACTGACTTTTAAAGCACCCATTTTCCCTAATGTATAGGTGTTTTCTTATTTTAAAATGCTATAATAAATAACAGCCAAAAGTTGGCTGGCAGATTATTTGTTTGTTTTTCCCAATGTCTGTGGCTAGGCATCTGGGTTTGCGATCGGTACCTTTTTTTTAAAAGATATGTTCTCCATATTTAGGGTGGAACATATAACATGTTATAGCTCCTGCCTCCTCTCCTCTCCATGTGGCAGCGAGTCGGGGATATTCTCCCTGCACCCACTGTCACAATTCAAAAACCATATGGCCATGCAGGGCTCTGCCAGCACAGTCATGTCATTCATTTACTTTCCTGTGATTGACTGATCAGTAGGTTCTGGCACCCACCGCAGCAGACAGCTTGCAGTTATGAATGAACTGAGTGCGCTGACAAGTGCCCTTCTATTTCATTCACAAGTTCTGAAGCTTTCAAATTGACAGCCTGTATGGAGGTATGGGCTGAAAGGTACAAGGCTTGTTTGCAGAAGCCTGACATTGCACCGCTGATCTACTGATCAAGGAAAAAAAACAAAATGCAGATTTTTTTTTTTATTGTGCAGAAATATGTGCATTTATTATCTTTTTCTAATAAGTGAACTTCTCCTTTTTAAAACTTTCTCTTGATGGGCCTCATTTATCAAAGTCCTAAGGAAATAATTGTCTCTGGTTTTGCTGCTCATAGCAACCAATAGGAACCTTCTTTTCATTCTCCTGACTCCTATCAAACCTATCTGACTGATGGTTGTAGGGTAACACAGACTATAGATGACGATGTAGTCTAAACTAAAAAAAAACAGTACCTCTCTAATGCTCCAGAAGGTAAGTTCTGTGGCTGGTGACACTGTATGCTAGTCAGGCTCAGCTTGGACTACAAGAAGATGGCACCCGGCTGCACACAGGATCAGCAGACTAGAAAGCTAAAATAGTAAAAGATAATGAGAATTGACTCAACTCAGTTCTCCACCCTTAGAAGAACCCCCCCAATACATTCCCTCATGTGGGGCTTAATCATAGAGGCCACTATGATAGTGGCAGTTATTCTATGGACAGAGAACAGAGCTCAGCCAATTCTTTTCATCTTGTACTATTGTAGCTTCTGCTGATCCTGTGTGTGGCCGGGTGCCATCTTCTTGCAATCACAGACTATAGTTGGCCATACACTGACTGAAATTTGGTCAGCTCAGCAGGGACTGTCCAAATTTCGATCTATGTACTGCCTTCCCTGCTCAGTAGAATATAGACTTCAGGCGAAGGGATATGTTTGAAAAATCCTTCTTGATCAGCGACTTTCAGAATACAAAAACCTGGAGGAAGGGATTCCAGGCTGGCTGGAACCCCCCAGTAGTTAAAGATAGTTATTTAGAGGTTGTAAAATAAATTACCATATCACCCAGTAGATGGCCTCCATTCAGTAGCCAAAAAAGACATGCAAAAAAAGGGGGGGTTGTGAAAAGAAATTCACAGAGAAAGTGGCTACATTATGAACAGAATGTGATACTCAGAAAAATTTCCAAAAATTATGCTTTATTACATATACAAATTTGACATTTGGGCAATCGCCCTGGTTTACCATCACCTCAGTATGAGACAATACACACAGACCTAAAACCATTTAAAATGACACCAAGACCGGTCTAAATACATGTGCAACAAAGACAGTGACTACTAGAGTCTAAAGTCTTTGTAGCACTGGCGCATAGGTGAACACTTCCCATAGGAGGTGTATGCAAAAATTATACCATAGGTATACCATGTAACATGTTGTAGATATGTAGACATATGCTACTACCAAAATGGTTATATCCCAAGCAGGGAGTTTCAAAAAAATTATACTATAGATATAAAATATCACATGTATGCAATGCAGCAAGCACAATATGCGTCAAAAAGAGAGGCATGCCTCTAGGCCTATATGAGACAAAAAATGAATGTCATATATAAAATGCAGTACATTCCTATGCCGGCACATATGGTTGGGGCCCATTCATCTGTAATATAAGCGACTGTTTCCTAGGGCTCTTAAATGAGAATAAGCCCCATTTGTTACCAGGATGGAAGGATAGATGCAAATAGCAGAGCACTGCTTGAAATGGTTTCTTCACCACTGTATGTGGACTACACACCACTTTCTATAAGGAAAACAAGACAAATCCCAATAGATCTTCTGCCTGTTGAGATACACGTGGTATATCCTGTTTCCTATGAAAAGCACCATGATGTCCCCATCCTGTAGTGAAACAGACAATATGTGGAAAGTCACTGGAGGAGCTTTCACTCTATATGAGATGTATAGGTCATATCGATCACATAGGACCATATAACTAGTGTCCTGTAACAGTCCACTCACCACCTGCGTAATGGATAATAGGAGAGGAAAAGATGTCCTTCATAAGTACTGCCATGCAAGGCCAGAGAGGCCAGGGAACCTGACGAAGCTGAGTGAGATACGCCCATCGGCGAAACGCGTTGACGTCATACGTCAGATACGTCACTTCCGGTCATGCGCACTAGGTGGAACGCACGCTGACCTACAAGGAGGAAGCCATCTTCACATGCCATGAGGCAAGCTTAAGCAGCACAGGCACCGAGAAGAGGTCGGAACCCACGCGGTATATTGGCTGATGTCAGCGGTGGTTCCCTGGCCTCTCTGGCCTTGCATGGCAGTACTTATGAAGGACATCTTTTCTTCTCCTATTATCCATTACGCAGGTGGTGAGTGGACTGTTACAGGACACTAGTTATATGGTCCTATGTGATCGATATGACCTATACATCTCATATAGAGTGAAAGCTCCTCCAGTGACTTTCCACATATTGTCTGTTTCACTACAGGATGGGGACATCATGGTGCTTTTCATAGGAAACAGGATATACCACGTGTATCTCAACAGGCAGAAGATCTATTGGGATTTGTCTTGTTTTCCTTATAGAAAGTGGTGTGTAGTCCACATACAGTGGTGAAGAAACCATTTCAAGCAGTGCTCTGCTATTTGCATCTATCCTTCCATCCTGGTAACAAATGGGGCTTATTCTCATTTAAGAGCCCTAGGAAACAGTCGCTTATATTACAGATGAATGGGCCCCAACCATATGTGCCGGCATAGGAATGTACTGCATTTTATATATGACATTCATTTTTTGTCTCATATAGGCCTAGAGGCATGCCTCTCTTTTTGACGCATATTGTGCTTGCTGCATTGCATACATGTGATATTTTATATCTATAGTATAATTTTTTGAAACTCCCTGCTTGGGATATAACCATTTTGGTAGTAGCATATGTCTACATATCTACAACATGTTACATGGTATACCTATGGTATAATTTTTGCATACACCTCCTATGGGAAGTGTTCACCTATGCGCCAGTGCTACAAAGACTTTAGACTCTAGTAGTCACTGTCTTTGTTGCACATGTATTTAGACCGGTCTTGGTGTCATTTTAAATGGTTTTAGGTCTGTGTGTATTGTCTCATACTGAGGTGATGGTAAACCAGGGCGATTGCCCAAATGTCAAATTTGTATATGTAATAAAGCATAATTTTTGGAAATTTTTCTGAGTATCACATTCTGTTCATAATGTAGCCACTTTCTCTGTGAATTTCTCTTTTCACAACCCCCCCCCCCCCCTTTTTTTTTTGCATGGCTGGAACCCCCCCCCCCCCCCCCAAAAAAAAAAAAAAAAAAACACTAACCATTTATGGGCAGCTTTTGTAAAACTGATATTTTCATAAAGTTTCCTCTTTTACTTCTGTAGAATAGTTGGAATAACTCTCTCTGCTCTCTGCAGGGTCTGCACTGTGACTTTGCTTGTCTGATGTTTCAATATTTGGTGAACAAACCATCACAGCAAAGGGTCACTGAGATCGTAGTCAGCGCTGTCAGGATAGAACAGGTACGTCTGGTGTGAATGGCAGTGTGAGTAGATGAGTGACCATCTACATTTGTATAAATGTTTGTTCACCTAACAATGAACAACTTTTTTATGCTCCCTTTTTGGTCTGTTAAATATACCAATTAAAGAGTTTTGATAAGGGCAAATAAATACATGTTGACCATGTTGGAAATTCAGAGAAGTCCTGTGCACACTGTTTTATCTCAAGGATTCTAATTAGCTCTTCTAGTCCTTACCTTGGGACTGCAGAATAATTTGTGTCTAAATAGACTAAAGCTGCCTATATAAAAACAAAAAACTGTGCGCGCTAACCAAAACAAAGATATAATGAGAATAAATAAAACCAAAAGCGTTGCTGCAAAACGCTTGGTGTTTCCACACCGCATAAAAAAACCAATAATAAATAGTGTTGTGCTACTAATATAAATTCAATCACCATATAATGTAAGACACATTATTCATACAATAAGTCCAATGTGAATCCATAAATGCATAGATACTGATAATGTCCTCAAGTTTTCATTTTGTTTGTGTCAGTGCTCCACACATAATCATGTGCTCCACCAAAACAAGTACCCCCCACCAGAAGAAGTAGCCGCTCACCTGAACTATTGGACCTATAGAAATAAATATACAGGTCTCACAAGAGTGCATTTCCCAAACTGGACTCCAGGTGGCAGCAGGTCCCTCTTTTAGATATCCTTAGACACTGGTGGCTAATTCATTTGGATTTATGGCATCCAAATTCTCACCGTGTGTGTATTATTAATAAATATATATGTGTGTGTGTGTGTGTAATTATTAATAAATATATATGTGTGTGTAATAATAAATATATGTGTGTGTGTGTATGTGTGTGTGTGTGTGTATATATATCAAGTCAATAAACTCCTGGGATATTGATCTGGTCAGTTAAGTAGCAGAGGGGGTTGCTAATCAGTTTCAGCTGCTTTGGTGTTAGTGAAATTAACAACAGGTGCACTAGATGGGCTACAATCAGATGACCCCCAAAACAGGAATGGTTTTACAGATGGAGGCCACTGACATTTGTTTCCCTACTCATCTTTTCTGACTGTTTTTTCACTAGTTTTGCATTTGGCTAGGGTCAGTGTCACTACTGGTAGCATGAGGTGATACCTGGACCCTACAGAGGTTGCACAGGCAGTCCAACTCCTCCAGGATGGCACATCAATGCGTTCCATTGCCAGAAGGTTTGCTGTGTCTCCCAGCACAGTCTCAAGAGCATGGATGAGATTCCAGGAGACAAGCAGTTACTCTAGGAGAGCTGGACAGGGTCGTAGAAGGTCCTTAACCCATCAGCAGGACCGGTATCTGCTCCTTTGTACAAGGAGGGACAGGATGAGCACTGTCAGCACTGACACCATCCATTGTCTCATTAGGACCATGCCCCAACGTCAGACATGCATACAAGCACGTGGAGGCCATACAAAACTACTGAGGACCATTTTGAGTTGCTGCAATGAAATTTCAGAAAAATGGACTAGTCTGCTGCATCTTTTTTTTTTTTTTACTTTGATTTTCGGGGTGTCTTTGAATTCAGTCCTCTGTAGGGTTGATAATTTTTAATTTCCATCAAACGATGGGGCATCCTTACGTTCCTAACACGTGTGTGTGTGTGAATTTTATGTTTCATCTTTTGAAGTATTTGAACCTCTTTCTGGTTATCTTTGTAGTTACTTGGTGTGTTTGTCCCCTGTAAAAAGAAAAGATTTCCTTTTACTTCCTGATTCTTTGACCCCCTGCTGTCAGCAAATGAAGTGAGGTTCTAATACTACCCTACTCCATCCAAAACGGAAATGGTTTTGGCTGGAGTCTTTGCTGTAAATACTTTGCTGAATGTGTGACCCTAACATAGTCCTCTCTTTGCAGGAGTTTCTGTCAGAAGCTTTACCAGTAGATCTCATAGGGATGAACTGCAAACTAATGAAGACTTACATTGAATTTGTAGCAGACCGCCTGCTGGTTGAACTTGGCTTTTCAAAGGTAGGTAACAGTGTCTGAGGTTTAGCCATTGGTCCAGGCAGGAAAATATATTTGAAAGGGTACCTGTTATTGGGTAGATTACAGCTGCGTCTTTTGACGTGGAGAAATGTAGTTCTATTTTACCAAGCCAATAAAATGTATTATTTAAACTTTAGTCGGAAAATGTAGTCCTGATAGATTTCTTCATGATGGCCTCTTTTGCAGGTATAACTATGTAAAAAATTAAAAATAAGTGCCCACACTGTTTAAAATCCAATAATACACAGTCTCACCCTGCTTTCTGCACATGCTCAGTTGCTCTATTTTTCAGCACTGTGCCGAAAATGTAGAAGCCGATATGCTGACATCCGAAACCTGTACTGCTGCTCAGGGACTCAATTCGCATGAAGAAACAGGAGTAATGCTGGAGACCATTTACAGCACACATTCATTTTTTTTTTTTTTCAACTTGAAAAGTTCCGTTTTTAAGACCCCTTGCACATGGGGCCGTCCGGCTGTGTGTACCCTCCCAGTGTTTTTAGAGACCTGTGTTCTAGACCAGAATCTTTCCTTCTTTTTTCAGTCGAGGCTCCCTTTAAAATCCTGCAGGCACCCCATAAAAAATGGAAAATAACCTGAACTAATAGTTTTACACATTGCAGTAGCATCCACACGCCTAGGACAGCCAACATTAGAGGTGATTTATTCTTACAAAGCAAATACGCCTTTGCACACTGGTACTGACTAGTATTCCAGTGTTTCTCCTCTCCGTCAGTTTTTCATCCTTACGTCACGCGGCTAATGTGACCCCAGTGCTGACAGAAGAAGGGGGCAAACAAGAATGTTGTGCAGGTGCCAGAAGTCCTCCTTATCAACGGATGACATAATCCATTGTTAGGACGTGAGCAGCTGGCCCACGCAGTGCCAAAGGTTGTAATGCTGCACAATAAAAACCTATGGCCTTTTTTAACAGGCTTTATTAACCCGCTGGTTTGTTGACAATTTTCGGGCAATTTTTAGGCATTTTTCCAAAATACCCCTGAAGAACCCAGGGGGCACCCTGGCTAAAAAGGGCTTTTCTTTTCCTTCGTCCCTGAATGAACAGGGCCATAAGCACTGGATGGGGTTGAACAGTACAGCTTTCAGCCCCATTCAGATGCAATCTGTCACTGAGTTTAGGAGGCATAACGTGGGTGGATCCTGCACCTGTTCTTTCCAGGCGCACTAAAACACTGGGAAGGACCCACTGGAGCAAGATGGCCCTATGTGCAAGGGGCCTTGCTGAATAACATTTTTTGGCTATAGAAGCCTGTATCCTAAACAATTTTTTTAAATATTGTTTTCACTGTTTCCATTGGTTTTTTTTCTTGTTTTTTTTTTTTTTTTTATAAGTTGTTGCATCCCAGTGCCACTGATCTCTTGCAGCCTCTTTGCAGCCATTACCTGTCTCCATATGCTTCAGAAATAGCTGTGTGGCATTTCTCAGTGCGAGATTACCATCTAACAGCAGTGAACTCTATATTGCCAAAAGTATTAGGACACTCCTCCAAATTATTATTATTATTATACAGGATTTACATAGCGCCATCAGTTTGCTCAGCACTTTACAAATCATTGGATTTAGGTCTTCCAATCACCTCCATAACCACAGGTGTATCAAATCAAGCACCTAGGCATGCAGACTGCTTCTACAAACATTTGTGATAGAATGGGTCGCTCTCAGTGGATTCAAGCGTGGTACCGTGATAGGTTGCCACCTGTGCAATAAGTCTATCCATGAAATTTCCTTGCTACTAAATGTTCCACAGTCAACTGTTAGTGGTATTATAACAAAGTGGAAGCAACTGGGAACAACAGCAACCCAGCCACCAATTGGTAGGCCACGCAAAATGACAGGGCAGGGTCAGCGCATGCTGAAACGCACAGTGCGCAGAAGTCACCAACTGTCTGCAAAGTCTATAGCTAAAGACCACTTCGTGTGGCCTTCAGATTAGCACAACAACTGTGCGTAGAGAGCTTCATGGAATGGGTTTTCATGGCCGAGCAGCTGCATCCAAGCCTTACATCACTAAGTGCAATACAAAGCGTCGGATGCAGTGGTGTAAAGCACACCGCCACTGGACTCTAGAGCAGTGGAGACGTGTTCTCTGGAGTGATAAATCACACTTCTCTGTCTGGCAGTCCAATGGACGTGTCTGGGTTTCGCAGTTGCCAGGTGAACCGTACTTGCCTGACTGCATTGTGCCAAGTGGAAAGTTTGGTGGAGGGGGGATTATGGTGTGGGGTTGTTTTTCAGGGGTTGGGCTTGGCCCTTAGTTCCGGTGAAGGGAACTCTTAAGGCATCAGCATACCAAGACATTTTGGACAATTTCATGCTCTCAACTTTGTGGGAACAGTTTGGGGATGGCCCCTTCCTGTTCCAACATGACTGCACACCAGTGCACAAAGCAAGGTCCATAAAGACATGGATGAGCGAGTTTGGAGTGGGGAACTTGACTGGCCTGCACAGAGTCCTGACCTCAACCCCATAGAACACCTTTGGGATGAATCAGAGCGGAGACTGCGAGCCAGGCCTTCTCGTCTGAGCATGGTATGCTAAAATGCACAAACTGTCATGATAAAGGATGTGTACATGCAACATGTCCAAATTTTTGCCTTGAGTGGTGGCACATAGACCTTCTTTAGAATATTGTGTCTAGTTCTGGAAACCTCACTTAATAAAAGATATTGATAAGATAGGAGTCCAGAGAAAGGCAACAAAAATTGTCAAAGGTCTGGGGGATAAAATACATCAGGAGTGACTTCAGGAACCTAAAGTGAAACTTCACTCTCTTAGTTATCATTGATTATTTGTAATCCTTATGCTATGAGCATTCGTAAATAGATGGGAAAGTATAACATATTTACTTGTTTTAAACTTTTTTTTTTTTTCCAGTTATTTCCTGGTTTCCAGGCCTAGGCAAATTATGTCATACATCCCAGGAGACTTCAGGAGGGGAGGAGGGGTTTTCTTAGCTAAGCACACCCTTCTTCCTGCATGCCTGAGCTAAGAGCAGATGGATTGAACGAAGAAAATTCAACATGAATCATCTGCCTTTACTCAAAATGGGTGATTTCTCACCAAAAAAAAAGCATGGAGGCATGGATGGATGGATGAATTTGTTTTGAGTATTCAAAATTAAGTAGTGTAGTTCCATTTGCACAGTCTTAGAGAAAGGGGGGCCATGATTGAAACCTTTAAATACAGTAATCATGTGAATAAGTTTCAGGAGGGCACTATTTTTAATCTTAAAGTAAGATCAAGAACATCAGGACTTGATCTGAAAGTAGTGGAGGAAAGAGGAACGTTCATAACTACTAGTTAATGCAGTAAGTATGGTTGCACCGATATTGGTGCCGATGCCAGGTACTTGCACAAGTACCCATGCAAATGCTCCCAATACCAAAACCAATACTTTTTGCGGTTCAATTTCGGCCCATACAAAATGAATAGGCTCAAATTGCACTGCAAAGAATTAAATGTGATTTGAACAGGAATACAGTGCGATGCCTGTCTGAATTGCATGCGGTTTTACTTACAACGTCTGTGAAACCCAGGCTTGTCATAGTGACTTTGAGCCTTGGCTCACACAGGAATGGTTGGTAAACCTCCCTGAATGACAGGTTCCATCAGCTTTGACTCTCGATCCCACTGTAGACATCAGTGGCCATGGCTTGGGTCATCTCCTGCATCTCCTGCAGCTCCCATGGCATACCAGCCATCCACAGGACCCCATCCCCCCAGTCCTGTTTTACCAGATTGCTGATCCCCCGCTGTTAAGACAATGAAAAGCCACTTCACAGGTCCAGGGATTTGAAATCCCCACGGCTTTCTCTCTCCTTGCAGTGATGACCGTAGGGGCTAGAACTGGACCATGGAGCAATGTTAGAAGATGGCCTGATCTGATGAATCACCTGTTCTATTTCATCATGTGGATGGCCAGGTATGTTTTCATCATTTACCTGGGGAAGAGATGGCACCTAGGATGCAGTATGGGAAAAAGGCAAGCCAGCAGAGGTAGTGTAATGCTTTGGGCAATATTCTGCTGAGAAACTGTCCTGCCATTAATCTGGATACTTGACAGGACCACCATATTTCTATGTTCATTACATATGCAATCTCTGCTTAAAGCAGTGTTAAACCCAATAACAAACGTTTATTATATCAGTTATATTGCAATTCTTAGATGTGGTGGCTGCACTAGTTTACTTTTTTAGGCTTTTTTTTCTTCATTTTGCATCTGGTGATCTGTTCAGTAAGTCTGTTTTGAAAAGAACAAGCTCTCTTGCAGATGTATCGGTTTACAGTAGTGAGACAAACCATTTAACACTGACAAGGGTGCTTAAAATGATCAGCTTTGATTTATATAAATATAATGTATAATCCAGTTACAGCAATTTTGTTAAATTTGCGATTATGTGCAAGCTATAGTTTGGCTTCAGTTTGTTAGTGTATTTAAATCTGCTAGTCCATCTAACACTCCCCGCCATACTTACAGTGCTGCTCACTGCTGTGCGCCTTCATCCAGAGTGGAAGCACCCTAATACAGTACAGGTGGTGTGTTACTGGCCAGATTACCAGGTGAAAGAGGGGGGGGGGGGGAAAGCCTTAAAAAATGAATGCAGCCACCACACCTAATGATTGGTAAGCTGCAATATATTACATTTTTAGTTTTGGGGTTTATACCGCTTTAAAGCCTAATGGAGCTGCACAAAGATTGTGCTTTGCTGATCCTCAAATTTTTATATGCAAATCTACCAGACAGGGTCTGTCTAATTAAAAACAATAGACTCTCTGCAGTCTCTTTATGACATGAAACGCTCACAACACTATGGTAGCCAGGAACATGTGACCTAAGCTTCGCCATAGAAGGGAGCATCTTTTCTAGCAAGAGAAAGGTACGTTGGCTGAATTATATTCAAAATATTTATGATTGTATTAACATTTATTTCTTCGTTTTCAGGTATTTCAAGCAGAAAACCCTTTTGATTTCATGGAGAACATTTCTCTGGAAGGGAAAACCAACTTCTTTGAGAAGCGTGTGTCGGAATACCAGCGTTTTGCAGTGATGTCACATTCGCAGGACAATGTCTTCACTCTGGATGCAGATTTTTAATTGTCTGACCGAGGTGATGTGACTTACAATGTGAGATACGCGAATAGAGGTCATGGTCTGACGGTAAAGCCACACACGGGCTCATGTTCTATCCAATGAGCTCCTTTGTCCAGATACATGGGGATTTAGTGTTCTAAATGTGTCCATTGTGGCTACTTGCTGCTGCTACAGTATGAGTGCCAAAGATGTCTCCTGCTTTCAAAAAACTGATTTTAATTTGATTTTAAAAATGTAATCAGGGAAAGGGGTGTTCCTTCATCTCCCAAGGCGAGGCCTGTGTCCTCGTTGGGAATGACTCTTCTGCTCGCCATTAGCAGAAAAAGTAAAAAAAATACATTTGGCAACTTATACTTATGGCAGTTGGCTTAAAGAAGTTATACTTTGTTATTTATTAGATACATCATTGTATGTGTTTAAATATGGTTATAAAAGGTGACCTTTTTACTTGAATATATGTTAATGGAGCTGTTTTTACAGTTTTTCTACCTTGTTCACACAGGCGCTGATGCCCATACATAGGGTGAACAACCATTTTGTTTTTGCGTCCCTAGCTGGCAGGTGCTACATGCAGGCAGCCTTTGAAACCTATGAGAAAGCACGGACACAGACGCTCGTCCTAGTATGAAAAGCATGTAACATTAGAACATATCAACTGCCTGCACACAGCACCTGCCAGCTAGGGACACAGAAACAAATGGCCTTTCACGGGCATCAGCTTGTGAATGAGCATCGCTGTCCCTGCCAATGAGGCCTTACTGATGAAATGCAAAAGTTATATACATTTTTTTACCATTAATTCAAATACACTATATTGCCAAAAATATTGGGACACAGGTGTATCAAATCAAGCACCTGGGCATGCAGACTGCTTCTACAAACATTTGTGAAAGAATGGGTCTCTCTCAGGAGCTCAGTGAATTCAAGTGTGGTACCGTGATTGGTTGCCACCTGTGCAATAAGTCCATCCGTGAAATTTCCTTGCTAATAAATATTCCACAGTCAACTGTTAGTGGTATAACAAAGTGGAAGCAACAGCAACTCTACCATGAAGTGGTAGGCCAAGTAAAATGACAGAGCGGGGTCAGCGCATACTGAAGTGCACAGAAGTCGCCAACTGTCTGCAGAATCAGTAGCTAAAGACCTCCAGACGTCGTGTAACCTTCAGCTTACCACAACAACAGTGCATAGAGAACTTAATGGAATGGGTTTCCATAGCTGAGCAACTGCATCCAAGCCTTACATCACCAAATGCAATGCAAAGCGTCGGATGCAGTGGTGTAAAGCACGCTGCCACTGGACCTAGAGCAGTGGAGACTTGTTCTCTGGAGTGACAAATCACGCTTCTCTGTCTAGCAATCCGATGGACATGTCTGGGTTTGGTGGATGCCAGGAGAACGGTACTTGCCTGACTGCATTTTGTAAAGTTTGGTGGAGGGGGGATTATGGTGTGGGGTTGTTTCTCAGAGGTTGGGATTGGCCCCTTAGTTCCCGTGAAGGGAATTCTTAAGGCGCCAGCATACCAAGACATTTTGGACAATTCCATGCTCCCCACCTTGTGGGAACAGTTTGGGGATGGCCCCTTGCTGTTCAAACATGACTGCGCACCAGTGCACAAAGCAAGGTCCATAAAGACATGGATGTGTGAGTTTGGGTTGAATGAACTTGACTGACCTGTACAGAGTCCTGACCTCAACCCAGTAGAACACCTTTGGGATGAATTAGAGCGGAGACTATGAGCCAGGCCTTCTTGTCCGACATCAGTGCCTGACCTCACAAATGCGCTTCTGGAAGAATGGTCAAACATTCCCATAGACACACTCCTAAACCTTGTGGACAGCCTTCCCAGAATAGCTGAACCTGTTATAGCTGCAATGGGGGAGCCAACTCAATATTGAACCCTACGGACTAAGACTGGGATGCCATTAAAATTCATATGCGTGTAAAGGCAGGCGTCTCAATACTCTTGGCAATAAAGTGTAACTTTTCTTTAAAAAGCTACTGAAGACTAGTAAACCGCATAGTAGGCTAGCATATGTCACATAGCTACTAAGATTTAGCCTAGATTCACACTAGCCTGCAGGCTAGTTCAGTGTTGGCTCTGACATTTCAGCGCATTGCACTTCTTGTGGGGTTTTTTTTTTTTTTTTTTTTTTTTTTTTCAAGCTTTATATGATTTGTCACCTACTGTCTATAGTGAGGATCTCACAATGCAGTATTGCACTTATGAAGAAGAAAGCGAAGGAAATTTACTTTCCAGGTGACCACTCATTGTTTCAGTAGTAATCTGATCCAGTATGATCATGTTTTCCAAAGATCACAAGGTTCTCCTGCTTTGTTACATTACATAGAGCAGGGCAGAGTTAAAGTAGAAATCTGGACAAAAGTGAACTAATGTTAAATCTACTCCTACCTCCATTCTAAGCCTCTCTAATGAACCTATAAAGGAAAGATGTCTATACTTGCCTAGTCTAAGGGCTTTCTGGTCCAGTCACATGATCGGGTCCCAGCGCCGGCTTCAGTGTAGAGGAGGGATAGCCAACAATGGATGCCCCATAGTAAACCTATGGGTGACATCATCGCCCGCCCAGGCTCTGCAGCTGTTGTTGGTTATCTCTCCTCTCCCCTGAAGCTGTCCGCTGGGGAGATCACAATGACCAGACTGGAGCGCCCTCAGAATAGGTAAGTATACGCATCTTTCCTTTACGGGGTAGTTGGCATAGGGCTTAGAATGGAGGTAGGAGTAGATTTACACTTAGTTTGTGACCAGACTTCCATTTTAAATGCCTTTTTATATGCTGGCATGTTTTCTTGCTGTCGTTATTGCACTGTTTTCTCCAGAGCTCCCGTGTGACTGAAGGTGATGCAAGTAATCCAGCAATTGGTAGATCACTTTATGCTTCACGCTGCTGATGGAATAGACTAAAATATTATAGAATAGTTGATATAAACCTGCTGCTATATTTGTAGTCAGTTGTGACAAGTTGTTCTGAGCAACTCAGCAAACACTCCACTAGAAAGGATGAGGGGGGGGAAGGTCAAATGATCATAGGTTACTGTACCAAATTCTGAGGGTATAGAAATGACATCAGAATCAACTTACCAACAACAAAAGTGATGGGTATTCAAACTCTTCTTCTAATTTGTGGTAGCAGCATTTAAATGGAAATTTTTAACTACAAATAGGAGTTTCATACATAGCAGTCCATAATTTAATATATTGATTATACACATAAAGAAATAAACATAATTTGCATACTTTAAACTACTATTTGAGTATGGCTACGTTATAACACACAGATATATTTCTAACAATTGTGATTTACTAATGAACTGTAGTAATATTAAGAAACCCTTTTTTGACAACAGGATATTTTGTAAGTATAAAATATTTTTATATCCGATCAACCTATATACACTCACCAGCCATTTATTAGGTACACCAGTTTAATTGCTTGCAACACAAATTGCTAATCAGTCAATCACATGGCAGCAACTCAATGCATTTAGTCATCTAGGCGCGGTAAATTTGACTTGCTGAAGTTCAAACCAAACATCACAATGGGCAAGAAAGAGGACTTAAGTGACTCTGAACGTGGCATGGTTGTTGGTGCCAGAGAGGTTGGTCTGAGTATTTCAAAAACTGCTGATCTACTGGGTTTTTCATGCAAAACCATCTCTAGGGTTTACAGAGAATGGTCCAAAAAAGAAAAAATATCCAATGAGCAGCAGTTGTGTGGGCGAAAATGCCTTGTTAATGTCATAGGAAAATGGACAGACTTACTGTTGTGACATTCAGATGGTTGGGTCAGAATTTGGCATAAACAACATGAAAGCATGGATCCATCCTGCTTTGTATCAATGGTTCAGGCTGCTGGTGGCAGTGTAATGGTGTCGGAGATATTTTCTTGTCACTAGCAAGATGTACCTAATAAAGTGGCTGATGAGTGTACATTGAAAAATAACCTTATGACTTTCAATATTGAGTCCCTGAAACTGACTTATTTTATGTGAATATTTGAAATCTAGAATAGATCCCATCTCCTTTTATAGCAAAGCTTCAGACGTTTTCTCTTGTTGGTTTGGCTTTGTATGGTATGGTCCACTTTAGTTTTAGTTTCAAAGCTTTTACATAGTGGTGTTTTATAAATAGAGAGAAGAAAGGGAGGGGACCTGTTTCAAGGCCTCCTGCCTTTATGGGGTTAGCTAGCAGTTTCACTGCTACCCACTTCTATCAGTTGTGACACCTGTTGGGGGCTTGTGACCTGTCAGTTGACTTTCCAAAGTACTAGAGATGGCTTGGGTCCCTTTGTAAAACCCAAAAACTGAGGCTCTGGTCACCAGTCGTCAAGATTTCTGTCCTTTTGAATCTTGGAACTGTAATAAGCACTTACAGCGGAGTATTTATGACGGCATGAAGACCTTGATGTGGAAGCTCATCAAGAGAGCAGTGGGAGAAGATGATGATGAATGGCTGCAGAAGCCTCTCCTTACCTCGGGCCACAAGTCAACAGGGCACCTCGACTGGAGAAGATCATCAGCAAGGCGATATCTCGCACCTCTTGGAGTCAGCAAAAGTCTGCAAGCAAATCCCAAGGAACATCGCCAGGAGAAGAATGAAAGTGCCCCCAGCGTTGAGGCTTAGCCACAGGAAAAGGAAGTGCCAGCAGAGGTTCCCCTTCCAGTTTACAGGAAGGTAGTGAAAGGCAGAGAGCTGGGTGAGTGTCCGGCCAAGAGGAGGAGGAAGCGGTTGCTTCCCAACTAGTCTCCCATCACCGCCCAAAAGACTGAACACAAATTCCCTGTCAGTGAGTAAGGGGCGACATCACAGGAGCGGTTGGCACAGCAAAGTCCACTTCTCAGCAGCAGCAAGAGGCTCTGCTTAACCAACAAGGTCCCAGTGTGTCTGGATCCTCCAGGAGGGGGAAGATCTTCAGGACCAAGGGGCAGCAAGGAAGACCTCACCCTGTGGATGCAAGCTTTGAAGATCAGGAGGCTCAGCA